AATTTAAGTGCTCTCCTCCTCTATGTCTAAGGAGATTTCCAGTCATCCAGATCACGGTTGTCCCAAAAGTGTTTTTTCAAGAGGCAACTGGACTTTCTTTGTGTTTCCTTGAAGATGTTTCACTTCTCAACCAAGAAGCTTCTTCAGTTCTGATTGAATGGTGGGGAATGGAAGGATTTATATTTCTCACAATCATCTGGTCGTTAGCACTCCCTGTGAGAATCCTTGAGGCCACTTGGAGGCTTATCTGTGCCCTCAGAGTCACCCAGGTCAGAGTGCAGATGGGTGTGGAGCCTTCTTGGAACTGCTGGAAGGACGGTGTCGGAAACAGGAGGTGGGTGGTGTCGTATCCCTCCCCCTCCGTTGAGGGAGGGATGTTCAGTGTTAACATAGATGGCCTCTTTGACCCCTCTTTCAGAGAGAGCGCTAACAACCCGATGACTGCAAGGAATAAAAATCTTTCCATCCTCCACCACCATTCAGTCAGAACTGAAGATCCTTCCTGGATGAGAAGCAAAACGCCTTCAAGGAAAAACAAAATCCAGTTGCCTTTTGAAAAAGCACCTTTGGGACAACCAGGGAAGTTTGGTCAGTCAGGATGGCTCCGTGAGATATTTGCATACACAGGTTTGTGTTGGCCAAGTGTCAGGGCAGTGATCAGGTGCCCAGCTGATTCCTTTGGATCCAGAAGGGTTAAGGTTAGGGTCCATAACAGAGATACCCCAAGTCGGGGGAAGCAATTCCCACATAATTAGTTCTAGGCTTCATGCAGAAGCTCCCAACCACACCAACCCGGGGCTTCTATCAAAACCTGGCCCCAGGACCTCATGGCCCTGCTGTGATCAGGAGACTGCAAGGCCTAACACACGGCTCCAGGACGGGAACCAAAAGTCTGAGACTTTCACAGCTTTGAAGCCAAGTGAAGTTTTTGTTCCCCTTTTCCTTTATTCAGCAAACAAGAGTAAAAGAATCAAGCAGCCTAGTTCAGGGAAAGCTCTAAATGTCTAGATATTTTTTTAATATGAAGGAGAAATCAAAATATCTCCTTGAAAAAAACAATGGTCTTCCACATTGTCCCATCACTTTGATCCAAGCATGTCTCAAAGCTTACGAGTCCTTTTTGTAAACCCTCCGTAGAACTGCTATAGATAGAATATTCCCTTGGCATAGCACAAGGAGGGTCATTTGGGGGTGGTGGTGATAAGGAGAGCCCACAGAGGGCTTACGAGGCCCTCTTCCAATGGAACCCCCTCAGCACTCGCTCACGGATCTGCTTAGTTCTCACCCCATAGATAATGGGGTTCAGGGTGGGTGGTATCAGCAGGTAGACGTTGGCCACGAGGATGTGGACCTGAGGCGGGATGCTGCCGTGGCTGAAGCGATGGGTGAGGAAGGTGAAAACAGCCGTGCTGTAGAAGACCAGGATGACGCAGATGTGGGACCCGCAGGTGCCCAAGGCCTTGAGGCCGGCCTCTTTGGAGGGCAGCTGGCAGACTGTGCGCAGGATGAGGCCGTAGGACAGCCCAATGAAGAGGACATCGAAGGTGCCAATCAGCGATGCCACCGTCAGGCTGTAGGCCTTTGTGACGGCAGTGTCTGCACAAGCCAGCTTGACCACCGCCATGAACTCGCAGTAGCTGTGGGCGATGACTTTGGGCCCGCAGAAGGGCAGCCTCCCCACCAGGAAGGGGTGTGGGGAGAAGAACACCAGTCCCCTGGCCAGGACTGCGCTGCCGATGGAGGCGATGCGGCTGCCCGAGAGGATGGCAGAGTGCCTCAGGGGTTGGCAAATGGCCACGTAGCGATCGTACGCCATAGCGAGGAAGAAGCCGGATTCCATGGCCGTGAAGGCATGAATGACAAACATCTGGACCAGGCAGCTGCTAAAGCCAATGCTTCTGGCATCGAGCCAGAAGATGGCCAGCATCTTGGGCAGCGCTGAGGTGGACAGCACCAGGTCCGTGAGGGACAGCATGCAGAGAAAGAGGTACATGGGGTGGTGGAGCCTGGGGTCCGTCTTGATGAGCAGGAGAAGGGTGCAGTTGCCCAGCAGGGCCATCAGGTACAAGGAGCCAAAGGGCAGAGCCAGCCAGGTGTGCAGCGCTTCCAGCCCAGGGATGCCCAGGAGGAGGAAAGAGGAGGAGGAAGCCGCGGGGTTGAATGTAGAACGGTTGGAGGGAGGGGGCTCCATGCCCAGCCTGGCCGCCTGGCCCTCTTGGAGGAACGGATGGGATGGTGGTCAGGATTACGAGGAGCTGCAAATAAGAGTGACAGAATTGGAAGGGACCTTGGAGACCTTCTAGACCAGGGGTAGTCAACCTTGGCTCTTTTATGACTCATGGACTTCAACTCCCAGAATTCCTGAGCCAGCCATGCTGAGGGGAAAGGGAGAGGTTTCCAAGCTGAGCCATGCTGGCTCAGGAATTCTGGGAGTTGAAGTCCACGAGTCATAAAAGAGCCAAGGTTGACTACCCCTGTTCTAGACCAACTCCCTGCTCAGGCCATTCTGGACAGATGGCTGTCCAGTCTCTTCTTAAAAGCTTCCAGTGATGTAGCACCCACAACTTCTGGTTAATTGTTAATTGTTAATTGAATGGAAGATTCAGGATGAAGCAAGCCAGGAGATACAGCTGTATTGTCAGGATCAGGGTTTGTTAACCTGGACTTTCCTTCAGGAAACCATCCCCCCTTTTCCTTCAGTATCCTCACAACCCTTTCAGGATGATAAGACTGGCCCACCATCTGCCCCCCCACCCCCAGTTCCACCCGGATGCTCTGATACTCAGGCCAAAACAGAGGAACCCCAGGACAATGTCCAATCTTGCATCTCGGAGGAAAATGAAGGGGGGAAAAAACTACAGTGAGGGAGGCTGCTTGTCTGGTGTACGTCTGAAAGGGATCTGGAGGTCCTCATCAACCCCAAACCCTGCAAGGTGCATTGAGCAAAGGCTACTTGGAGATGCACGAATGCAGTTGCCAGGACTGGAGGATGGGACGCCGTGGTCCTTTTCCACACTGCCTGGCCAGCCCTTACCTGGGGCCAGGTACCCAATTCTAAGCACAGGTTCAAACAGGGCAGGGAGAAATTGTGGGCTCGAGAAGGTAGGGGGTCTGGAAACCAAACCCTATCAGGAATGACCTGAGGGGAGGTAGCATGGCAGTCCCCCAACATCTGAAGGCGTGTCTACTTTGCCCCAGAGGGCAGAACCAGGTCCAGCAGGTTGCAACTGCAAGGAAGAAGATTTGGGTTCAACATTAGGAGGGACCTCCAGACTGCACAAGCTTCCAGCCTGCGGGAGAGGTTGAGCTCTCCTTTGCTAGACCTCTTCCAACAGAGACCATCAGAGACGCTCTGGGGCGACTGGCACTGAGCGAGGGGTTACATGAGAAGATCTGGGAGGTCCCTTCCAGCCCTCCTTTTCAGTGGTTCTGACTGCCCTTTCTTAATTGGACCATGGACAGGACACGGCATGGCAGGGAAGCAGACTATGACTGCATGTGAGGACAAGTAAAGAAGAGGTTGAGACCCTGAGAAGAGTGTAGAGAAGAGCAAGATGATCAGGGGGTTGGAGGATAAAACATGCGAAGAACGGTTGCAGGAATTGGGCGTGTCTGCTTTAATGAAGAGAAGGACGAGGGGGGACATAATAGCAGTCTTCCAGTATCTCAGGGGCTGCCCCAAAGAAGAGGGAATCAAGCTATCCTCCAAAGCCCCTGAAGAAGGCAGGACGAGAAGCAACAGATGGAAACTAACCAATGAGAGAAGCAACCTGGAACAAAGGAGGAATTTCCTGACAGTGAAAACAATTAACCAGTGGAACAACCTGGCTCCAGAAGTCTTGAAAGCCCCATCATTGGAGGTTTTTAAGAAGAGACTGGACCGCCATTCGTCTGAAATGGTGCAGGGTCTCCTGTTTGAGCAGGGGGCTGGACTAGAAGACCTCCAAGGTCCCTTCCAACTCTGTTATTCCGTTATAAGCTTTCTGTTCAGTCCCTCCCTGAGCTCCCCTTCACAGAGGGAAGCCACCCCACCCTCAGGATGGCTTTGTCTGGTTCCCTGCCCTGGGTGGAGAGGAGGACTTGAGGCCCTCAAAGAGCCCTCTGTCTCCAGGATTCCATGATGCTCAGCCGTGGGAAGACACGTCCCAGGACAGAGGCCACCCAGGAACAGAAACGGGCTCTTTTATTTCTCCCACCTCGAATCCTCTGCCAGTCCTCCCGAGGGTGGCAGTGGAGCTGAACGGCCCAGATTCTTCTCTCAGCCTGCCCTTCATCCTGGTTCTACGGGGTGACCCTGCTCACCTCATGGTGCAGCCCTTGGCCAAAGGCAACAGCCCAGCTATGGTCGGCCACAACGATGGAAGCCCGGGCACTCTCGCAGGCCCTGAGATGCGGGCCCAGCAGTGCACAGCAATCCGCAGAGCGCACATGGTCAGCCCTGAGTTGTGTGTGGTTCCTCTGCTGCTGAGGGGCATTTTATCGGCGGAGGCTTCCGAAGCAGCCCTGGCAGCCGAGCAGCCCAGCCGGGCCCAGCCTGGGTCTCCGAGGGAGAGCAGGCAACGCGTCCCTTTGGGAGCGCTCCTGGCAGAGAGGCCACTCGTGGTCAGATTCAAACACGGAGCCTGAAATGGCCCAGCCTGGCCCGATGGGACCACTTTGCAGAAGGGTTTCTCCAAACCAGGAGTGGTGATGCTGCCGCACAGAAGGAGAATAAACTTTACGATTCATTTCCTGCCTCTGTAGCTCTGGTTTGTTCTCCCACACCCTCAGAAGTTGCCCTCCTGGACACAAAAGCCACAGTGTGTGTGTGGGGTGGGGGGAATAGTTGTTAGAATAGATTTCCTTGTGCCAAGAGAAGGCAAAGGAGCATGGGCTTGTGCAAAAGAAAAGAAGGGTGATTTCAACAAGAAGTGTGCGAAAGGAGTTTATCACTCTTTTTTTTTTTTTTTTTTTTTTTTTTTT